CAGCGGGTGTGGCATACATGGGCATGGAGAAGACAGACTTCTTCTGGTACCTGCGCAAGGTGAGAGCAGTGGGGCCGGGGGGGGGGGTGGGAGAATGGGGCTATGTTGTTGTATGAAGCAGGATGCTGTGGTGCTGTGTGTGCTGGTGTGGCATGCATGGGCATGGAGAAGACAGACTTCCTTCTGGTACCGGCGCAAGGTGAGTCAGGGGAATAGGAGGGAAGGAGAGAGAGAGATATGTGCTGTTTGCAGAGGGGGGTGCTGAGGTGCTGTGTGCTCTGGTGGGCGTGCTGTGGTGTGGAGTATTTCGTCTGGTGGGCTTGGCATGGGGAAAACGGAAAATGTACTTCGTCTGGTACCTGCGCAAGGTGAGAGCAGTGGGGCTGGGGATAGGAGAATGGGGCTAGGTTCCTGTGTAAGCACGATGCTGTGATGCTGTGGTGCTGTGTGCTCTGGGGTGGCATGCATGGGCATGGAGAAAACAGACTTTCGGCACCTGCGCAAGGTGAGAGAGAGCCGCAGAGAGAGCAGGAGTTAGTGTCATGGGGTGCGTCAGTTTCGATTCTCCTGACATGAACGTTGCTCGTGATTCTCCTAATCACACAGTTGTTGTGATGATGGCTTGTGAAATTTTCCAAACCAACCGACTGACTGCTTGCCGTCTCGGCAACTGTGCGTGCCTGTGTTCTATTGTGTGCTTGTGTAATGCAGGTCAGTGGAGTGGCGTTGGCAGGGTATGCAGCAGGCATGGCAACATACCTGGCAGGAGGATACGTCTCCTCAGACATGTTTGCCACCACTCTCGCCTCCCTGCCTCAGCTGCCTCAGCTGCCCTTCTAAACTGCTGCCCTAACTGCTGCCGCCCACATTTCATTCCAATGTACTGTACCATTATTAATACGAACGTGTATCACAATGGCCCATGGATACTCCAGCATGGTGGTAGTAGTTAGTAACCTTGGTCGCTGTGCATGTATGCTTACATGTCCATACTCCTCCAGTGATACGGTGGCAGCAGTAATGTAGCTTAGGTACAAGGTACGTCAGCATTCCACTGAAAATGCTGTGTTATGTACAAGGAACTGTTAGCTAGTTACACCACCATTGGCACAAACATAGATTGAGAATGCAACCAGTGACTTACCAAACCTGATTTCCCTCAGTAAGCTTATCACATCTGACTTCTCTCTTGGGCAGCCAGCGCGAATTGGCGTTGACTTGCATGGTACCATTGCAGCAGAAAGCTGCGGTGTGGCATGTCGGGTTCCATCATGTACCAATATAGTACTTTCCTTTTATTTTATTAACTCGCTGAGGTGTTGACGCATACTGTCTTCTAACCATTTCAACGTATTGAAAGAGATATTAGACTGAGCCCTTGGAAGAAGTTTGTTTCAACAGCATGTCTACGCTGGATGTGCACTGCAGTTCAGCGCCGTGCCCAGCCCAATCAATAAATGTTCAGAATGCTCGCGAATCTGGTTCCTTTCTCCAGCATGTGTATGCTGCTGGATGTGCTGTGCTGTGCTGCGCTGAAATGAATACTTTGTTGTAAGCATTCAGACCAGCAGGGTAAACCCAGACGGGGACACAAGCAGAGCTATCCCAGTTACGGTAAACTGCCCATGCTGAAAGTCTCTTGTACCGGTACTGCTGCCTTCCTCGCTGTGACAAAATCACACTGCCGTCGGGCTGCCACTCCGCTGTGAACCACGCTACAACCGCAAGCAACGGGAGGCAACCACTGTCAACCGCTGTCAACCTAGGCCAAACCTCCGGTAGCAGCAGCAGTGGCAGTCTGCTGCTGTGGCGCCGCCAGGGCCTCCTTGAGCTCGCCAGACTGAGCCATCTCCTCTAGAATGTCCGCCCCCCCGATGAACTCCCCGTTCACGAATACCTGCGGGATGGTGGGCCATTGGCTGGGGGGAGAGGGGGACATCAGGGGGACATCAGGGGGACGGGGGAACATTAGGGCGAAGGTGGGTGGAAAGTGGAGGGTAATTTAAAAGAAGAAGCCCCTCTGGAATCCGTCACAGATTCATCAACTCTTCCGATGAACTCCCCGTTCACGAATACCTGAGGAATGGTGGGCCATTGGCTGGGGGACAAGGAGCGGAGGTGGGAGGGGGAATTGGGGAGAAGAGGTGGACGTTACCAAGACAGACCCCCACCATGGCTTCAATATCCCCCACAACCACAGCAGCCCCACAACAACATCCCCACGAGTAGCCCCCTGGCCCCCTCACGAGCTCCACACCTGTACTCCTTGATGCCCTCTCGGATGCCCGGGTTGTGGTCCTCGTCCAACACGTTGAGTGTCTCATAGTCCACAGCAGCCCACCACAACGGCCCCACAACCACGTGACAGCCACAGCGCCCCCATCCACTCACCTGTACTCCTTACCCTCTCGGATGCCCGGGTTGTGGTCCTCGTCCAACACGTTGAGTGTCTCATAGTCCACAGCAGCCCACCACAACGGCCCCACAACCACGTGACAGCCACAGCGCCCCCATCCACTCACCTGTACTCCTTGATACCCTCTCGGATGCCCGGGTTGTGGTCCTCGTCCAACACGTTGAGTGTCTCATAGTCCACCCGTGCCTCGTTCAGCAGCGTCAGCACGCGGTGCGAGAAGCCACACTGCGGCGATGTGCTGGGGAGTGGTGGGTGGGTGGGTGGGTGGGTGGGAGGAGAGACAAACAGGTAGATAGTTGGTTCCACCCATTGAGGCACCGTGTTAGGGTAGGGGGTGGTGAGAGGAGAAGTAAAGAAGGTGATGCAGCAATGGTGGGAAGGGGGGATGGGATTGGATGGGAGGGCAAGCTTGTGGGGAGATACAGTGAGACATGTGAAGGGATACTGCAAATCACGTGCAAGGTTACAGCAAGGGGATGGGAATGGGAACGTACCGAGTGCCCTTGATGAATGCAACCACCCGGTTCTCCTTCACCAGCTTCTCAATCAGCTGCGATAGGAGGAAAGGGAAGGGCGAAAGAAAAGGGCAAGGGGAGCGCGACGGGGAGCGGAAGAGGGAGGAGAAGAGATGACCCAAAGATGCTTCTAAGTTTGACTCAAAGACCACCCGGTTCTCCTTCACCAGCTTCACAATCAGCTGTGATAGGTGAGGGGGAAGGGGTGGGGGGGGAAGAGGGAAAGGTCATGGGCGGAGAGAATGTGCTTTAGAGTCATCTCAAAGATCACCTGACTTAGCCTTTCCCCCTCTACAATGCGTGGATCAGGTTCTGATCGGCTGTGTTGCACACAGCATCCACTGTGCCGGTCCCCCACTTCCCCTGTACCCCACTCCCCCTCCCCTCCCCTCCCTGCCCCGCCCCGTCCCTCTCCGCTCGTCTCCTCCTATCCCCTCCCCTTCCCTGTCGGCCCTCCCATCCCCTCCCCTCCGCTCCCCTTCCCTCCCCTCCGCTCTCCTTCCCCCCCCCTCCCCACACCCCCTCCGCCCCGCACCTCGCTGAGAGGAATCGTGAGCTTGACGTGGGGTCCCGGAACGATACGCAGGTCGGGCTTAACACGCTTAACGCACCGCGTGGTCCACGTGGAGTTGCCGCTCTCATTGCCCGGAGGCACCTTGCCCGTACCCGCCTACCTCTCCCGCTGTCCTTTTGCCCGCATGTCCCCTGTCCCCCTCGCCCCCTGACTGTCCCTCACTCCCCCATACCCTTCTCTCCCTGACACTCCCTCGACCCCGCTCCCCTCCCCCCTGCGCTACCCCTTTCTCACCTCGCTGAGAGGAATCGTGAGCTTGACATGAGGCCCCGGCACGATACGCAGGTCCGGCTTGACACGCTTCACGCGCCGCGTGGTCCACGTGGAGTTGCCGCTCTCGTTGCCCGGCGGCACCTTGCCCGTGCCCGCCACGTGCTCCTGCATCCACGCCTTCCACGCCTCCACCAGGGCCTCCTTGTTCGTCGCCGCTACCACTGCGAGCTGCATGGGGGAGGAGAGCGGCGAACAGGAGGAGAGGGGAGGAAGGACAAGCGGCGGAAGTGGGATGGGGACGGAGGAATGTGAGGGGGTGTAAGGAGGACAGGAAGCGGGGGGGGTGGCTTGTCACTCAGCCAGGCAGTGGAAAGGAAGGGGAGGAGGGGGACCAACCAGAGTGGAAGAATGTCGTGTGCCATTGTAACGAGGTGACTTTTGAGTCGACTCAAAAGTCACCTCGGCTTGTCACTCGGTCAGGCGGTTGAAAGGAAGGGGAGGAGGGGGACCAACCAGACTGGAAGAAGCGGACACACTCGTGCCAAGCATCATCGCCTCATCTTCCCCGTCAGCCCCGCCCTCCCTCCCCACCCATCCTCCCGCCTTCCATGTCTCCGCCATCCGACATTCCCCCCATTCCCCCATCCCCCCATCCCCGCCATCCCCCCATCCCCGCCATCCATCCCCCATTCCCCCATCCGCCCATTCCCCCATTTCTCTCCCCCCTTTTTTCCCCACCTTGACAGCGCCGCACATCTCGGGCAGGACCGCATGCCCCTGCATCCCTCATTCCCCCCAGCCCTTCCATTATCCCCCCCCCCCCCCCCAACCCCATCCCCCCCTCTCCAATCACCTTGACAGCGCCGCACATCTCAGGCAAGTCCTCCGCGCCGCGTGCTTCGAACATTCCCCCCAACTCCGCCACTCCCCCCATTCCGCCATCCCCCCATCCCGCCATCCCCCATTCTCCCTTCACCTTGACAGCGCCACACATCTGAGGCAGGTCCTCCGCGTGCGCCTGCTTCCAAATTCCCGCACCAACCCCATCCCCCCACTCCGCCATTCCCACCCCCCCCTCTCCAATCACCTTGACAGCGCCGCACATCTCGGGGAGGTCCTCCGCGTGCGCCTGCAGGCTCGCCGCCAGCCGCCGCGACAGCCCCATGTACTGCAGCGCGCCTGGGGGGGAGGGGGGAGGGGCGGGCGGGGGAAAGGGGAAGGGGGAAGTGAGAGGCTCGCCGCCAGCCGCCGCGACAGCCCCATGTACTGCAGCGCGCCTGGGGGACGGGGGGAAGGGAGAAGGGGGAGGGGAAGGGGTGGGCGGGGTGGAGATTGGGCGGACGTAGGCGGGCGAAGAAGAGGAATGGGGGAGGAGTGGAAAGCGGAGGCTCGCCGCCAGCCTTTCCGCGCACATTCCCGCAAGTTCCCCGCACGTTCCCCCGCCATTCCCCGCCGCCTTTGCCCCGCAATTCTCCGCACATTCACGGCCGCCTTTTCCCCCGTATTTCCCTCCGCACATTCCGACCTCTCTCTACCACCCATCCGTTCCCCGACCCCCCATTCTCTCGCCCGGTTCCCCCGCGTGCCTTCTTTATCGTAGATCGCGTAGATGCCGGACGCTGCGGGGAAGGCGGCGACTGAACCGTCGCTGGCAATTATGGGCGTCGCAGGGGTGTCCTCCAGCGACGGCAGCGAGCACGTGGGCGACGTCGCAGGCGACGATCGCGTGCGACGAGCGACGCTTCGGGAGGAGCCTTGGACGCGGCGAGAGATCGCCGATCGCGAGGCGATGAATTCCGAGCGAAGGTGCGACGTCGCACGGGTGGACGATACCGCAGACGGGCCGCATCGTGCTGGCGACACCCCGCATGCGACGACGGGCGAAGCATGCGACGGTCTGCAGGAGGTGGCCTGCGACGGACCAGCAATGTAGCAAGGGACAGCCGAGGCCGCCGCGAACACAGCTGAAGATGCAGCAGCGGGAGCCATGGTGGTAGTAAAAATAATTTTTGTTTTTCCCGAAGGATAAATGAAGAATCTAGGGACGAGAGGCATATGATGGGTGGAGGTCGGGTGGGTGGGATGAGAGGGAGGGAGGGGTGGCAGCGGCGACTGATTGGTGGTTACGCAGTTCGCGAAGAACAACCGACAAGCATGTGGTTACCTTGGCTTGGGCCAACATAGCTGAACAAATAATGTCAACTTTTAGGCGTACGGTACAAAACAAACGATCCAGAACAATGCCCTTACCAACAGATACATCCTTATGATAGCAGAAAACATGAAGGAAAAACACACACAAATAAACATGAACAAGCTAAGCTAGAGTTTGAGAGTATTGTTTGGGTCGCCTATGTTAGAGAACTTTGGCAATGCCACATAAGTGCATCCAAGCAACACACCATCACCAACGCCATCGCCAGCGCCATCACCACTGCACGGCATCCCGGAAAAGTGGCTTCACGTTGTCTCCAGGGTAATACCACATGTGCATGCCACTGAACTTGAGCGCCACCACTGATGCTGCACTGGCACACGACTCCTCCCCACTGAATCTCGTCATGTCCTTACCAACAGACACCGGCCCTGAGCGGCCTACTAGGGCGTTGCAGGCAGCAGCAGCAGCTGCTGGTGCTGTTGCTGTCGTGCCTGTGTGCGCCTTTGCAGCATGCGATGGCGGATGGTTATCATCATCCACAGGTTGGATGTCCAGGGTTTCTATACGAATGCCTGCTATGTCCATGCGATGACACAGCTCTTCCACATCTGCACAGATAATAGACAACAGAGAACAGGCAACAAAAGGAAAGGCGGAGGTAAGGTTTGGGACGATTTTAAATTGGTAACAGGGACAGATGTGATATAAAAAGATTCCGGTGGACGTTTTTGGGTGAGCTGAAAAGGAGAGAATATTCACCTTCCCAGTTCAGGCAGGCCGACTCAGCAAGAAATTGCGATTTGCGTTCCGTCTCGCCCATCCCTTCCTCCTCCGGCCAATGCTGCTGCTGTCTCATTTCCTCCCCATCCATCTGTAGATCCTCGCCCCCTTGCTCCTTCACACCCGTTGCTGCCACCGTCCGTCGCCGCATGTGCTCCCATGTAGTTTGAGACACAGGTGAATGTAACCCCGCAGGTGCAGGATCACTTGCCAGGGAGGAGCATTTGGGCACGGAATGACCGCTCATTCTCGTACGAGCCATGCCAGTCGTGCCACTCGTGTCATTCGCGGCAGGAGAATTAGCAGGAGAGGCAGTAGGGGAGTCTAGGCCGCGTAGAGGTAGCGAGGACGTGCGGTTAGGAAGGCCGAGGCGCAAGCGCTCCATCACGAGCCGCGGCGGGCGCGATCTGCTGCTGTCCGCGACGGACGGCGCAGTGCACACGCGGGAAATCGCCGCGCCTCCGTCTTCATCGCCGTGGTAATCGGTGGGCGACTGCCGCGGGGATTTTGGGCGGGACGAGAGAAGATACGACGGCGTTGTATCCCTGTCTTTCCTTGCCGCGAACGACGGCACGTCGTTTTCGTCAATGGTGCTGCTCGCGCTTCCCAAAAGCGTGCTGCATCTGGAGATGGGCGGCGTGAAGTCGCCGTGGCCGCCGCCGCCGCCGCCGCCGCCGCCGCCGCCGCTGCTGCTGCTGCCGCCGCTGGCGACGGAACTGGAGGCGGAGGAGGAGAAGGAGGAGCGGCGCGCGAGCGAGAAGGTCGAGATGACGGACGAGCGCGCGGAGCACGCGGACGGCGTGGGGGAAGTCGCCGGCGAGGCGGAACCAAACGGCGCGTTCTCCCGGAGATGCGACTGCGCGGAGAAAACTCCGACTCGAAAGGGCGGCACTGAAGACAATGACGCTTCTCCGAGCGTGACAGGCTTGGACTCAGTTTCGAAGCGCGCCGGGAAGTCCGCTGAGGAATCTTCAGATGACGCGTCTTCGATCGTCACGGAAAGGGCCGCTTTGTGATGGCCGGCCGCCGTGGGATTTCCTCGTTGCACGAGCGGCTGCTGCTTCGTCTTCCTCGTGGTACTGTCGCAGGAGCTCTCCGTCTTATCTTCTCGCGCCGATGCTGACGCGGAGCCCGTTCCTGGAGCTCCCCGCTTCGCCGCCGCCGCCGCCGCCGCCGCCGCTGCTGGGGTGGAGGAGAGTGTACTATTTCGGGTCTCGGCGCGGGGGGCGTCTTTTCGCCAGTTCTGCGCGGGAATGGGGCATACCTCGCTGGCCAGCATGCGCGTTTCTTCCGCCTTGCGAGCCGCCTCCCGCCAGTCCACGCACGGGATTGGGCAAATACGTTCCCCGCCCGAGGAGAGGATTCCGAGGTGGAACGACGAAGAGTTCCCGGCGCCGGCGGAGGCGGCGGCGGAAGTGGAGGCGATGCCTTCTGCGCTGTTCTGAGCGCTGATTCCCCCCCGCGGGGCGGCATTTGCGGGTTTTTTCACCGCGGTGAATGTCGCTCGTTTCGGAGCCGGATGCGGCTGTTGCTGCTGCTGCTGCCAGCTTTTCGCCGCGTCGAACATGTCAATTGAGAGAACAAAGCTCGATGAAGGTCCGAACCCGTTGGACCCAGATCCTGCAGGCTGGGTTGCTGGCGATGCCCGTGACGACATGCATGTCGCCATTGGAGGAGGAAGACGATACAAGGGAAGTGAAATTCAATCTAGGTGGAAATGGGGGAAAACGCCAAGTGCTGAGCAATTGAGGACACCAGAGTCTATGTAGGAGTGAATGCTTGATCCCAGTTGCGATTGAGATTGTGATTTGAGGTGTGTTGCGACGAAGCTGATGCAGGTGACGGTGGTGGTGCGGTGCGATCCCACAACTATGGAGGGGCTGGGCTGGATGCATTCGTTGCTGCTGAGCAGAGTGGATGCACCACAGACGGGAAGGACGATCGTAGCGGCACAGGCAGAACAGGGTACGCAACGACGAAACGAATGTGTGGTGCAGTAACTGGTGCATCTCGGATCAGCACGCCACCTCTTGCTTCGAGTCGCCGTCCACACACATTTGCGAAAGGGGTTACTCGGGCAGAAAATGCTATTATTGTAGACGAAGAGTGAAACCGCAACGAATTGGCGGTTCAAACAGCGAGAAGAGAACGAAATTGAATGGGAGACGATCATGGCAGCGAGACTCCACCACACAGTGAGGGAATTATGACAAGCTTGCGCGACACTGTCACCTCTTGCAGGGAACGTTAGATTGAAGCGCGATGGGTATCAGGCAATGGGCAGAATGAATGCATTGTGCTTGAAAAGAGTACACTGTACACGGAGGCCCATTGGCTGCTTATCTGGTGATCAAGTGACGTCAAAAGTGCTCAGAGATTCCCCACAATTTCTCAGGTGAAGTCGACACTTTATCCACGAGGCTCGGAGAATCTGTTGGTTGCCAGCAGCCTTCGTGTCGAGACTCCAATGTGACATGGAAAGTGCAAAAGTGCAGAATATTCGTTTTAGTGTATATCGAAAACTGAGAAGGGCAACGACCAAGTCGGAGAATGTTCTGCTGTTAACCCTATCATCGAGGTTTTGGAAGTACTCCCGACCCCTTTCAAAAGTATCACCAAACCAGTATTCCTGCGCTTGGATGGCATGCAGTCGCTACTTCCATAAGCGCGCATGACACGAAACTGGAAACGAAGTCCCGAACCAAAGTTTGACACGAGCTCGGGTGCACATATGTAAACACAAGCTGGGGAATCTTGAAAGCCATGCAGCAACCCTCTCAGGTCGCAAGAAAACAGCTGCAAACGTTACACCGAAATAGTCGGCTCGGATTGGGTGTGGTGTGCGACGGGTCTTGCATTCCACGCACGTGACTAAACCTGCCCTCTGCTCGTCGAGAGGGCAACATCTGTCACGTGGTATAATCATGCTAAAACCGAATTCCAAAACATTACCAGTACACCCTCTTTCTCAACCTTTTCACCTTGCGCGACTCGTCGCTACAGTACTTGTCTCATGCGATCTGGTGCCAATAAACGTTCCTAGGCAACCGGGGGGGAAAGCCGGACCACGTGACAAACTGGCTCAAGGACGTAAAATCTCCGTAATCGCTTCATAACTTTCCCAAACAGATGAAAACGTTGACAACGCTTTTTGTAAAGTGCATAACCTTACCTAACCGCATTCTTCACATTGTGCTTGTACAGTAGGTGACAAGACCATTCTGAACGTGGTGACGTTCTACAATCCATGTATGTTCTCCAACCAGGTGCTCTACTAGCGCGAAAGAGGGTGTAATATAGGGACGCGTGACGTCAGCAAATGCCGCCCCACGGGTCCTGGCACAAAGGGATTTCGGGGCAAATCTGAAAACCCTCCGAATCCCTCGGGTCACCCCGAAAATCCCGCCTGACCAGGCGAAAAAACTCCCCGAATACCTCCGTCTCGATGTCGTATTCTTACGCGCATATATATGCCAGCCGTACTGTCGCAATTTCGGGGACATTGATCGAGCACTGCTCGACGGGCATTGGCCAATCGCTGTCGAGCACCGTGCACTCCCGACAAGACGGGTGTCAGCGCCTGACGTCGCCATCGACGTCGCCTGACAGGCCGTGCTGTCGGTCGACGTGAGTGGTAACGGGTTTCGCAACCAGCCGACGGTCACAGTCGACGGCGCCTTCAACTGTGGTCGACCGATCACTTCGACGGTCGAGCGAGACGTCGCTGTCGGAGTGGCGACGGGTTACGTAAGTCGCCATCAAAGGGGTCACGTCAACAGATGACGGCCACTTCAAAGGCCAAGGCCTTGAGGATACATGTAAGGGAAGGGTTATCAACCCAACAACGGTTTAAATGAAATCCTAAACTGGGAGCAGCAGTAACATCGTTTTTGTCAGTAAGGCCAGCGCTACGGCAACGAGAGCTTTCGGGTAGGCACTGATGGAGAACGATCCGTCGAGGACAACGACTTTCCGTCAGGCAGCGGTAGGACCGCTACCTGTCGATGTTGAAACCATCTCGACGCAACCCCCTATGACGTCACAAGCCATACCGTGCTCGACACCGCCACCCTCGACGTCACGAGCCATACCGGGCTCGACAACTCCACAATCGACGTCACGAGCCATACCGGTTGTGGGTCAGCCAGTTGCGACGGATCAACGCTCGACGAAACGTGCCGTCAATGTCGAAGTGGGGGGGGCACCAACCGAAGTCCCTTCGACGGCGCAATCCATACCTGTAGTATTTTAACCGATTGCGACAACAACCCCTCCCTCAACACCGGAAGCGACAAACCAGCCGTCATCATCTTCGGCACCACAACGTTCGACAACACCAACGGAACCAGTAGCCGCTGTCCCGAGCTCGACTGGTGGGCGACGTAGGAGAAGGGGTACGGGTGTCCCGGCTGAGGTTAGGCCACCACCCCCAGCCGGTACATCCGCTTCGCGAGCCATTCCCGCCGCGCCTATGCGCTCATCGAAAAGACCCAGCAAAACGGGCTTAGCCAGCCACGTCCCTGCAGAGACGGATGATGACGACGATGAGCAGGGAGAACAGCCCGAGGCGGACGATGTCAAAGAGGTGGACCCTTTGCGCCCTGCCGCGGCAAATATATCAGAAGAGGAGGCAGCCCACATTCTCGGTGACGAACAGGGCGAAGAAAATCCGTACTTGGCGACGAGAACACTCAAAAGTGTGATTCACCGTTGTCGGCTTCCGCTACTGGCAATCGACCAGGATTCAACTCGGCCAAACTAAGTCTCGCGTTTCATGCATTTCAAGGCTTGGGCCTGTGCAACCCTGGCGCCCGAAAAAAAACAATGGAGTGCCGGTCGAGGAGCAGGTGATCAACGAGGACGAGGTCGGGAGAGATATCAGCAAGGATTTAGGGAAGGGTTGGAGGGCGGCACTCCTTAACGAGGAGCACCTACATGGTCCTTGGACGTCGAAATGGCGGTTGCGGGCTTACGTCGAGTACATGTCGACAGAAATGGACAAACAGGCGGCTTCCTTGGATACCGGGTGGACCAGAGTAGCGGGACGGAAGCCGAAAAAATGCACCCCACCGATGATGCTGGCGCGCCTAACTGCGCTAGGGTGCTTGTGCAAAGTAGAGGCCATACTCTTCGACGAACCACTCACAAAACCGATGGACGACATCACCGAGGCTAGGCAGCTACTTGCGGTCAAGCTGCGACGGCTGCACGACTATCATTTCGAGTAAGTTCGCTTCCCTACCCCGTCGGCTACAACTTCTCACTCACTTTCTTACTTATTAATTGCTGTATCTGCCCACTCTATGCAGGAGCTGCGTCGACCCACACCGTGGCTCGCTCGACGATGTCTACACGGAGGGGCAGATCCGCATTCTTGTTTCAGACATCCTGTCGCACTGGGCCAAGGTGTACTTCGGGTCGTTGATGGCGTACCCCAGTCTGTCGCTGTGGAAGGCCTTGGTTGTGAGGTTGGTGATTCTGATGGCGCATCACATGCTGGGCAGGGGGATCAGCATCCGTACGATTCGCTACTGCAACATGTTCACTCACGTCCTTCTGCCCATCACGAACAGCCCGGGGGAATCGTCGATCCTCGTTCTCGTGGTCGCCTATCGCAATTCGAAGACCGTCAAAGACAACAAGCTCGGCCACTTGTACCTGACTCGACACATGGACTTCCAGCAGTGCGGCTTTGGAGCAGTTTTCCTCTGGCTACACTTCCTTTTCGACCTCGTGCCGCTCTACTACAACAACGCGAATATCGTGCCCCCCTTGGATTTTTCAAACCCGGAGGCTTGGTCGAAGAAACACCTGTTCTTCGCCCTCTTCGACAAAGAGAAGACAGAGATGCCGTACCCGACGCACAACAAATGGGTGACATGGGCGATGAATAGCGCGGTGTGGATCCTGTCGAAAGTCACGCACATCTTTCGACGGTCTGCGGCACAGATCCTTGCGGACAAAAACTTAGACCTCGACACCATCGCACAGCTGGGTCAATGGGACATGAAAGAGATGCGCAGGTCCCGCGCCCGGCCATCCAGATGCAAGCGGGTTTCTTGCAAGAACCGGGCGACTATTACATCGGAAGATCGAAGACCAAAGTGCCCCCGAAAGTCCTGAAGGCTATCGAGGAGCACATATTTCCTAAGGCGGAGCTGTGGCTCATCGAGTTATGTATCTGTCGAGCACTTGGCGTCTTCGTCGAACGCAAGTTTTGCTCGCCCATCCATCTCTTGATGTCACCCCGTTCGTTTATGTTCAGGCCCAGGAGTGGAACAACGAGCAGGACAAGGAACATATGTACTACGCAACGAAGAGTTTCTTGGAGGCCCTGCTAGCTGCCCGAATGCCCATCGCAGAGGATCTTGCGATGTACTACGTCCATTGTGAGGACCACCCCTTCGACAGGGTCAGCGTTTGTGACTGCGAGTGTCACCCTTACGTCCAGATGTCGGGTTTGTGCAAGGACGAAGATTTCCAAAAATGGGCGCTCGACGTGTACACGCTCGACAAGTACGGCATCGAGATGCGGACCAACCCCACGATGTCGAGAGCGACGGTAAGATGGTCCTTCCAAAACTATAAGCGACGACTTTGCATCAGCCCACTGACTGCACGTGTTCTTGCGTGCAGGACGTATCCTCTCACCTCAACACCAAGCACCTCATCACACAACTTCGGGCTGAGTTAAACCTCCACAAAGAGGAGGGAGGGAAGAAGGAAATCCAGATCAACCACCTCGAGAAGCAGGTTGAGTTATTGGAGCAGGAGAAGAGCTCAATGAAGGCTGAGTTGGAGGCGAAGACAGAGGCGTTCGCGCAACTACAGAAAGCGTTCGACGCACTGAAGAATACCGCGGCGACAAGCGCAGCTGCAAATGTGGGGGAGAGCGAGAGCGTGCCGCAGACGGCGATCGAGGAAGCCACCCCGGCTCCACAGCAAGCCCAACAAGCAACGCCCTCTCGACAGAGCGTGGGCAGCCAGCTTGACCATGCGTTCTTCGACGCGGTGGTGTGGCCGTGGTGCAATTGTGAGGCCGTGCGGAAGGTGTGGTCGTACTGGGACGGGCCAAGCCCACTGAACAACGGGCATAGTCTTCGACAGGCTTACAAGAGGGGCTTCGCCGTCAAGTTCTGCAAGTTCACACCGACTCCACCCCCCGTAACCCCCGAAAAGGAGGCCCAGCCAAAAGAAGATCCACCAACCGCAAAAGCTATCGAGACGAAATTGCGGAAAATGAAGGCTGTCGAGCATTTCCGGATCGACGACAGCAGCGCGGCTACGTCGACGGTAATCGAAAAGCTGGACTCAATTGTGAAGGGCCACTCGATCAACATGCTTTCGGAGGGCATCGTTCTCAAGGAGGATTCTGGGAGGCAGCTCACGAAAAAGCGCAAAGTCGAGTCTGCAGAGGAAAACCGGAAGGACAAACAACGCCTCAGAATCACTCTGGACCTCATTCGCGTCGAGCTCCGAACCGCAGAATGGGCGGAGAAGGTGTTCGGCAAGGAGAAATGGAAAGAGTTCACGGCAACAACTAGCGCGCGACCTAGTTCGACGGGCAACCGTGACGAGGGGGGACCCTAGTGTACGTTGTTCTTTCAGGGTTTACATGGCATCTTCCCGTGATGCATGTTGTGACACCATCTCGACAAGATGAACCAATTGAGCATTTTTGAAAACATAAAGTCAAGGAACATCAAGCCAAAACATTCTGTCGATCAAACTATCGAAACAACAAACACATCTGTCGAATGATGCAAAAACCCCCACGCAATGCGCCCGCCTATACTACTCCCCTTGCCCGCCTGTTTTCGCCTCTGTTGCATCCTCATCGCCCAGCTTTGCCTTGCTCTTTTCTTCTGGCATAGCCAGGCTCCCATAGCCCGCGTCCTCCAGCAAACGGGCAGCAAATCGACAGCAGCACCATTGAGTACAGACTTGTGCTGCCACGCGCACCATCTGCAACAGGGTGGCGTCAGTCGAGCCGAGGCCTTCGACAGCCGACGAATATAGCAGATCGGGCCAGTGCTTGGTCGGGAACGTCTTGCCGACGTGCAAAAGTACGGACAGCAGCGCAGCCATCGCAGCCGCACTAGCCCGTGTCGCCATCTCTGGGGCGTAGAGCGCTGCGTTTGCAGCAGCTAGGGCATCCTTCTTAATGTCTTCCCGCGACAACTTCCTGCAGGCCGCCCACAAGCTTGCCACAGTTGCTGCGACGGCCATCATGTGCGCAGTCCCGTGCGTGTTCTTCGGGACCAGATAAATCACGTTCCCGTGCCTCCGACCAAGCGTCACAACCTTCCCAATCGCCGCGCACAGCTCAATTCCTCAGTCGGCTCTAGCTCTCACTTCCGTATTTGCCGTTGCCAGCAGCGACCGGAAACTGCAAATCAAAACAAATGCGTTAGTCAGACGGCACGACTTCGACAGGAAATCCGACAGCACTTCGACGGAAAGAACAAAACCGCTACGACAGTCAAACTACAAGACTTCGACAGAACTCACTCGTCAAAACGACATTCCCCTTGTTCTTGCGCCACGCTCCAAACGCCGGTGGGCATACGCACGGCTGCATCGAGATAGACCTTCCAGTCCTTCTCATCCAGCGCCGTGAACCCCTCGTACTCCTTAAGGTCTATGTCGGGGAAGTACACGCGCCAGCAGATGGCCGTACAAAACTTTTGGTCCGCCTCCGTTTCAAAAGTGCCCAGGAACCGCTTCCTCGAGCCTATGGTCTGCTCGGAAACCGGCTTCCCCTTCCGCGACATCATGCCCGGTCCTTTGAAGGGAGCTTTGCAGCCTCTCGTCTTGCCTTGGTCGTCCGGTGGAGGAGGTGGGGCGTAGCCAATCACCTTGGGCTTCTTCGACTTTTCGTGTCGAGCAGCAATGACGGTAGACGCCTTCTCGACATGAGCTTGGCCAAGGAGGCTGCCCAGCTCCACCACGTCACTGCTCTCTGTTGCCTCTGCAGCGCGCTTCGTCGAATTCGTCACAGCCTACCTTTTCTTCAACGCAGAAGGGGAACTTGGCCTCGGACCAGGAGGAGGGGAACCCGGTTCGCTAAGGCAGACGTCGCCTAAAACGGACGACGAACTCTTTCCCACAAGCTCGATAGGACGGCCAACAATGCCAAGCTGCGCAGTTGAGTCGGCCTTTGTCTTCGACAGCAACCCAGCAGCGACGACGACCTGGCTGGGAGCACCCCGTTTCTCCCCCGCTCCTTTCTCCGCAGCGCCGCCGGACGGGGTAGGGGCACCTCGCTTTTCCACGGGTCCTTTCCCGGCTGAGGCGACCTGGCCGATTGGGGCACCAATTTTCTCCCCTGCAACCACTCCTTTCCCACCCTTTTTCCCGAGGCCCTGCAGCATGTCGCGCAGCATACCAAAAGCATCAGGCGGAGGCTTCGGTGCCGCTTCGGAGGTCTGCTGAAGGGGTGACTGGTCGAGTACGATGACCTCCTTGTCCTCAACGGACTTGCCGACGGTCTGACGGGCACGAGACGGTGGGGATGCTACCGGGCTGCCGACATGTCCTCCCACCGAAGAAGGAGGAACCGAGCGCTCATGAACCCGACGCTCAACCCCGCTGCGAACACCAGCCACCCCCTCCTCCTAACGCGACCTCGTCGACGGGCCCGTCGAGCCCCGAAACCCTCTCGCCATCGCTTCGGTGAGGACTTCCAATCTGCCAGCTTCAGCTTCTTGGTAGCTTTCTCTCACAACATCCTTCAGCTCCTTCATGCTCTCGGGCGGGAGGGTGGAGTAGAACAAGTCCTCCTTTACGGCTTTCTCAATACCCTTCACGACCGAAGCAACCAGCCGCTCCTCGACAAGCTTGAGCTGCTTCTCGACGGCGTCCTCGCTCGCTTTTGTGATAGCGGCTACCACCCCCTCGATGATTTTCCCGCTCATCTCGTCGAGCTTCGTACGTGCCCCTTCCAATAGCTTCCTCTCCTCCGTGACACCGTTTACGGCATCGCCGCACTGCTTCAGCGTGCTCTTCGACGACTCCGAAATCATATTCCAGGCCGTCTGAAAATCCAAAGCAAGCTTGTTGAAAACACCGGCTTGCTCACTGTGCTTCGCAAATACGTCGGCGACGAGCTTCTTCTGCGACGCCTTGACCTCCGGGACCCTCTGCAGTAGCTCGACGACCTGGCCTCCGGAGGCAATGGCTGACGTCAAATGGCCTGCCGTCGAAGGGCCTGCCTGTCCGCTGCCACTGGCCGTGCGGTGTCTCCTTCTTACTGCGACCTGTCGCTCCTGCGCACCCTCCCCGCCCTCTTGCTCTTGCCCTCCCGCCCCACCCTCCTGCGCAGCCACCATGCCCTCTTGCTGCTGCCCTCCGACCCCACCCTCCTGCACAGTCGCCTCGCCCTTCTGCTGCTGCACTCCTGTCCCAAAATCCTGCACAGCCGCCCCGCCCTCCTGCTGATGCACTCCTGCCCCACCCTCCTGCGCAGCCGCTCCGCCCTCCTGCTCCTCGACAGCCCCATCGTCCCCCGTCGCCTGCTGCTCGTCCACCCACTCCCAGAGCGCCACTCCATGCTCCTCCGTATGCTCCGTCCCACCTGGATGTTCTTTTGCGCCCTCGCCGTCGTCCTCGATCGACTCATCACTCTAGCTCAAGCCGGAGCTCGATTCCGAGCTCGAGCCCTCCTGCTCGTTCGCATTGCCGCCCGGGCCGCTCACCCCGTGCTGAGCTTGCCTTGATATATCCTCCTTGGTCTCCTCCTCTTCCTCATAGCTGTACTCAACCATGACGTGTGACGCCCCCTCGCCTCCTCCCTCGTTTTCGGCACCCCCTCCCACTCCTACTCCCTCCGCCGCCTCGTCCATCCTTTTTCAAAACAGTTTGACCATGAACAACGGAAGCAAACCCGTGCCAGATATCGTTCTCCCGAGCATCACGAGGTCGCCCTGTCAAGGCTGCACGATGAAATTGTCCCAGTTCGATAGAATCCGGCACACCCCATGCACGACACGAGCTGCCGCGTCGGGCTCACTGGGGCTCGTCAGGGCCGTCCTCGTCTACGACGGGTAAAAAAAATGCGTAAGCGACATAACAACATGCTCAACGAAAACATGCACAAGTAAGGGTAAGGGTTGGCTTACCAGATGATCGAAACTCGTAGTCATGTCCAGACGCAGGTCGATGAGGCTAAGCACCCCCTGCTCGTGCTCGGTCACAACCCGCTGGGTCGTCACGTACTCGGCGCGAAGCTGCTTCTTCATCCAACTACAAAGCAACGGACAGGAGAGTAAGAGATTGTCGAGAACGGCAAGTCGATAGCAGGGTGGCAAATCGGTCACTCACACGAGAACTTCATGCGCCAGCGAAGATTGGTGGTTCACCGTGGGAAACCTATCTTTCGAATCGAAGTGCATCATTCGAGTTCGACAGCCATGGTGCCTTGGAGCCAGCAGATCGTCGGGGCGCGATACCACAAACAGGCTCGAGTGGGAGAACGGCGCCACAATAAGGCTGCATGCAGAGCGAATGTACGTGAGCACGGGTTTAGTACTAAACACGGAGCACGCAAGGCAACGGGATAGTGTTGAACTCACGTGGTCCGCAACAGAACAAGAATCACTTGCTCTCCGAGCAGGCCATCGAGGTGGTTGTTCGCAAAAGCGACCGGTGTGGGACGTGCCATCTCTTCATGCGCACGCGTCGAAGTCACGATCGACAGCTTGGCGAGCTGCTCGATGGACAGCAGCTCCCTCGAAAACAGGCTGCATGGAAAGCTAAGGCACAGTTAGCGACAGGTAAACATGGCAAACCGAAAATGCTCGACAGGAAACGCACTGTGAGCTGCCCGTATGTCATTCGCACGGGTGACCGTGCTGGTCAGACATGCGGGAAGGCCCACACATAGCACCGCTGCTTCTCCCATCTCGAGGACGCTTGGCGCGCTGAGTTTGGTGAGGAGGTCGAGCGCCCCCACTGAGCAGAGCTGCTTAGGTCTGGTGTTGCGATCTTTGACCTAGACTATGATGCTAGTCTTTCTGCTATGTGTGCTTTGTCTGCTAGTGCTGAGGGTGACTATTACCGGTGTGTGCCGCCTGACCCAGGTACAGACGCTGCTGCTCTAGGTGCTAGTGAGTCTGTTCTCCCTGGTACTGCGCCTGCTGAGGCCTTGCACACCTTCACGCTGGACTCAGGTGCCTAACGCTCTTTCTTTCGTGACAGCACCACTCTCACTCCTCTCCCTGCACCTGTCCCGGTCCGACTGGCTGACCCCTCCGGGGGCCCGGTCGTTGCCCGTTCCTCCACTGTCCTCCCGTGTCCGGCGGTTCCGTCCGGCTCATTGTCCGGCCTTCGCCTCCCCTCGTTCTCTACGAACTTGGTGAGTACCGCTGCCCTCCAGGATGCGATGGTCACTACCACCACTCCTGGGGGTCAGCGTGTGTCGATCTGCACATGTACACGGACGGGTCGTCACCTGGCCACGTTCACTCGTCGGCCAAGGTCGAGTCTGTACACACTGGCTACCAAGCCTCCTCAGGTAGCTGCGTCTGCTCAGGTGTCCGCGTCAGGTCAGGTAACACCCCCTTGCTCATGTCGCCTCCTGACGCACCAGACTCTTCTGTGGCACCACTGCTTGGGTCACCCCTCCCCTGCCCCGCCGTGCCTTCCTTGCGTTGAGGGGCGGCAGCGCGCCGATCCTCACTCCTCCTCTTTTCTCCCGACGACTGCTCCCCTGCAGACTCTCCACATGGACGTGTGGGGCCCAGCCCGCGTCAGTGGACGGTGCCGCGAGCGCTACTTTCTGCTGGTTGTTGACGACTACACGTGGTACACAACGGTCTTCCCCTTGCGCAGCAAGGGTCAAGTTGTTGATGTCTTGATCCCTTGGATCCGCGCAGTCCGTCTCCAGCTCCGCGAGTGGTTCCGTGCGGACCTTCCTGTCCTGCGTCTGCACTCTGAAAGAGGTGGTGAGTTCTCTTCCAACCTCTTGCGGGACTTTTGTCGTGGGGAGGGCATTCTCCAGTCGTTCATGCTTCCGGAATCCCCTCAGCAAAATGGGATTGCTGAGCGCCGCATTGGCTTAGTCATGGAGGTAGCTCGTACCTCCATGATCCATGCGGCTGCTCCCCATTTTCTGTGGCCGTTTGTGGTTTGGTATGCTGCGCATCAGCTCAACCTCTGGCCCCGTGTCTCCTTCCCGGAAACCTCGCCTACACTGCGTTGGACGGGGAAGGTTGGCGATGCGTCGGTGTTCCAGGTCTGGGGTTCTCGTGCCTTTGTTCGTGATAAGTCCGCGGACAAGCTCTCCGCCCGCGCTATTCCCTGCGTCTTCCTTGGCTTTACCCCTGACGCGCCTGGCTGGCAGTTTTACCACCCCACCTCGCGCCGTGTCTTCCCCTCTCAGGACGTCACGTTTGACGAGTCGGTTCCCTTTTACCATCTCTTTCCCTACCGCTCTGCCCCTCCCCCGCCCCCGCCGCTCTTCCTTGCTCCAGGTCCCCCTCCGGTAGACCCCCTCCCCCCCCAGGGTCCTGGTCCCTCGGGTGTGTCTCAGGTAGACCCTCTCCCTGGTACTGCGCCTGTTCTGGTAGCTGTCGGCTCAGGTGCTGCTAGAGGTGCTGCGTCTGGGGGTGCTGCGTCTGAGGGTGCGGAGCTGGGGGTTGCGGAGTCTGAGGGTGCTGTTTCTGGGGGTTTCTGAGCCTGGGGGTGCTGAGCCTGAGGGTGGTGAGCCGGGGGGTTGCTGAGTCAAAGGATGCGGAGTCTGGGGGTGCTGAGCCTCAGGGTGCTGCTTCGTCTGGAGGTCCTGCTGGTGCTTCGCCGAGACTGTCCCCGCAGCAGCTGCGTGAGTGGCTTGTTCGGCGCGCACACCTTCAGAGTGGAGCTACCGGAGCTGGAGGCGCTGGAGCCGCTGGAGCTGGAGGTGCTGGAGTTACTGCTGGAGCTGGTGGTACTGGGGGTACTGCGGCTACTGGTCCTGGAGGTGCTCGTACCAGGGGTACTGTGTCAAACTTATATATAGCTTATATTGTATAGGCTATAGTGGGGTAGCCCATAAGGGGTACAACACAATTAGGGTTAGTAATTGTACCCAACTCTTTGCTAGTTCATTCATTCTCGTTCATTATTCTGACATGGTTTCAGAGCAGGTCCTCCGCTAGGACCGTTTTTTTTTTCCTTGAGCCCACCACAGCGCTACCCCGCTAGCAGCCCTCTGCAGCCCTCGTGCTGCCCCTACTTCTTGTCGCGACCCGTAGGCCCCTAGGCCCCGGCCCGTCGCCACCCCTAGCCCGGCCCGACGCCCCTAGGCCCGTCGCCCCGGCCCGTCGCCCCTAGGCCCGTCGCCCCTAGCCCGGCCCCCGTCGCCCGACGCCCATCGCCCGTCGCGCCCTGTCGCCCGTTGCGACCTGTCGCCCCGGCCCGTTGCCCCGGCCCGTCGACCCCCGATCCGTCGCCCTAGGCTCGTCGCCCGTCGCGACCCGTCGCCCCTAGCCTAGGTCCAGGCTCTGCGGCCCGTCGCCCGTTGCCCCTAGCCTAGGCCCCGGCCCCACGGCCCCTCGCGACTTGTCGCCCCTAGCCTAGGCCCAGGCCCCGCGGCCCGTCGCCCGTCGCCCCTAGCCTAGGCCCCCAGGCCCCACGGCCCCTCGCGACCCGTCGCCCCTAGCCTAAACCCAAACCCCACGGCCCGTTGCCTCGTCGCCCCTAGCCTAGGCCCCGCGGCCCCCCCCGTCGTCCACGATCAGTCGCCCCGCGGCCCCCAGTCGCCCTAGGCCGCGTCGCCCCGCCCCCCCGTCGCCCTAGGCCCTGTCGCCCCGCGGCCCCTCTCGTCGCCCTAGGCCCACGGCCCTTAGGCCCCCGGCCCCTTCGTTCCTGGCCTCGCGGCCCGACGCACCTAGGCCCCAGGCCCCTTGGCCCCTTGACCCCTCGGCCCCTCGGCCCCTTCGTTCTCCGCCCCGCGGCCCGTCGCCCCTCGGCCTCTGCTGCTACTGCTGTTGCTACTGCTGCTACTGCTACTACTTGCTGCTACTGCTACTGCTGCCACTGCTGCTCCTGCGTGCTGCACCACTATGGCTTCGCTTCAAGTTCTCGCGTTCGATCATGAGGGCAGACCGATTCAGTTTGACACGTGGCTTGACGATCTGCAGCTGTACCTACTGAGCGATTCTAAGGACAGTTTTTCACAGTTTAACCTAGCTGACAGTGCGACTCGCTCACAGTGGCTTACTTGCGACGCTGCTGCTCGCTTCGCCATTCGCAACCACCTGCCGTTAGCCGAATGCGATCACTTCGGAAAGCACAGGACAGCACAGGCATTGTACGACGCTGTAGTCGCTCGCTACTCCTCGCCTGCCACTGCTGCTCTAGGCCGCCTTCTTCTGCCCTACCTGTTCCCCGAGCTATCAGCCTTTGCCACGGTAGAGGACCTTGTTTCCCACCTGCGCGCTAGTGACGCTCGCTACTGCGCTACCGTCCCTGCTGAGTTCCTCGACAAGAACCCGCCCCCGATGTTCATCACCCTCTACTTCATAGTCACTCGCCTCCCTGACTCTCTTCGCTTTGTCAGGGACCACTTTCTCTCACTTGACCCCACCTCCCTCACTTGACCTACTCGAGGAGCACCTCCTCGCAGCTGAGACTAGTGCATTTACTGTAGATGCTGGTCGTGGCACTCCGCGCACGCCCTTCTTTGAGGGGTGCTCCCCCTCCCCCCTTGCCCCCTCCTACGCCTCTACTGCTGCTGTTGACATCCTTGGTGCTGAGGATGTCGGGGCTAGTTCTGCTCTTAGATGTCCGTGGTGCTGAGGACGTTGGAGCTGCTTCTGCTAGTGCAAAGCGCCGCACCAGCAAGAGCAAGGGTGGCAGGGGTGGT